GAAAGACGAAAAACGAAAACATCATTCAAACATAAGCCAGGAAGATACTTTGGTAGTTCCATCAAAGAAAATAAAGTTGCCCCAACAAACAACATTATTCGCAATCATTCTCACACTATTCTTTCTGCCAATTATATTGGGCAATCCTGTAACCACAACACAGCTTAATTCAAGTATTGGTCTCTACTTCGAAAATATGGGCACTGTTCAGATGGTAACAGGTGAATGGAAAATGGTTGTTTATTATGAATTAGCTCCGGTACAGACCCAATATAACACATTCGTTAATGGAATTTCTGCACTAGATAAATTGTGCATCAAACTACAGCAGGGTTCGGCTTGTCACACGCTCGTAGGTACGTTTGAGCATACAAGAGATGATATCCTACAGGAGAAGATTTTATTAAACAACAGACGAGATAAACGAGGAGCCATAAACCTCGTTGGAAATGTGGCAAAGGCTTTATTTGGGGTTCTGGACTCAAATTACGCAGAGGATATGTCACAAACAATAAATCAGCTAAAGGAAGATGATAACCACCTAGCTAGATTGCTGCAGAATCAAACCTCCATAATAGATTCAACATTAAATATACTTAAACGTGATGAAGAAACTGTTAATAGTCAACTTGGTCAACTTCAAGATCAAATTAGCCAAGTACTAAATCGAATCGACAATGAAACCGAACAAATTAAAATTACGCAGATATTCATATCAATTGCAATACAATTGACACTGATGGGTGCTAATTTGCAAAGAATACAAGCGGAAATTATAAATGTTTTAATTGACTCTCATCACGGAAAAATAAGTCCTCTATTGTTATCACCTCAACAACTAAAAAATGAGATTAAGCATATAAGAAGTCATATTCCGCCATCTCGACGATTTCCGGTTAATCAAGATGATTTAGTTCAACTCTACAGAATAATGGAAATATCTGGAGCAGTAACTAAGGAACAAATCATATTTGTTATTAAGGTACCACTTATAGATTCCTATGACATGGAACTATTCAGAATATTACCTATACCAACAGTTATAAACAACACCATTTTAACAATCAAAAGTGATGTCTCGTTTATAGCAGTAAACACATTTCGAGATCAATACATTCCCCTGCGAGAAAATGAGCTAGATAATTGTCAAATTCCGAACAAGGCGGTGTATATTTGTTCTAGAAAGCATATAAAACTAGGCAGATACTCAGAAACTCATACGTGTGAGATAGAATTATTTAATAATCGAACCACAACAAGCTGCAGATTAACACAGTTATCCAATAAGATGGTTTGGACGAAAATGGAACAAACAAATCAATGGATATATGCTACAGTGAATAAAACTGAGATGTCATCTGTTTGCGGAACACAATTAAATCAAGTCACAATAGAAGGATCGGGCATTCTAACTTTACGACCAGAATGTACAATAAGAAACAATCTAGTTACAATTCAAGGTCATTACTCGTTGCCATCTGTAGTTCATTCATCATTTGTTCATGTAGAACAGCTTGCATCCATAACTACACCAAATGAAATAAAAACAATCATCAACAAGGCTGACGATCATCTTGAGACACAACTGAAAGAACTATCCATGTTACATCAAAGGTTAAAGGCTATGGATAAGTTTGCAGTTAAGGCCGAACCAGTTTCTCAACCACACCATATAATTAGTTACGTGGGAACTATTTTACTGCTGACATTGTGTGCACTTACATAATATACAAATCTATGAAGAAGTGTAAACAAACCCGACGAAAAGATGATTCACCTCAATCTGAGTCCACAGCATATCCACAACCTACCCCAAGACGGCAACAGCTCGTTGTGGAAGTATAAGTAGTTGAGTTATTATTATACTACTCAACGGAGGGGAGAATGTTAAGGTAGAAATTAAGTAATAAATAAATTATTTCACATTGTTAAATTGTGTCATTCAATTTATATTTTAAGCAATTTAGCAATTGTGAAATAATTTATTTTGAATATTTATGTTAAGCTGAGGCAACAACTTAACTGGAGCAACGGTGAAATATGCAACGTTGCATTTTGCATTATTAACAGTGTTCCAATTAATTTGTTGCTGAGGTTAATTATACTAATTATATTAATAAAATTATTGCACAAAAATTGTATAAAAGAAATTGAAACAATAAAGAAAGTAATCAATCAATAAAAACTATTCTTTGATTCTCGTCAAACCTAATTCTGCTTTATATAGAGTAAGTTTCAAGTGCTTAATCTATAACCAATAAGCAATATTCAATAAGTTAAAGTGCTTATTGAATATTATAAGGATTAAGGTATTTTAAATATACAGGGTGACATTATGAGAAGTATAGCTACAGTTCGACCACATGTTGGGAATAGGCCTATATATGAGCGACAAGTAACTATTTAACACGTAACACTTATATCCAAACCTTAATTGGGCTAGGAGAGTTCTAATTGTATATGCGAAGCGTCTTTTATCTCCGGTAATTTCAATTAGAGACCCATTAGGAACTGTGTTGTACTGTTGTAATAGCGTTCTTGAAGTAATATCTGCCTCAATATAAAAGGCAGAAAGCCATAGTTGATATTCAATCTCGATGTATTCACAATGCGAAGAAAAAGGGAATGCTCTACTGCCGTGACTAGCATGACCATCCGTTTTACAATAAAGAAAAAGTTATTGCGACAGTATCTTGTTATACTCCTATTGATCTTTAATTCATAGGCTTTTGATTGTGATAAACATTCAACTAGCCAAGTTAACTAAGTCACTCTTTGTTAAAATTACATAGTACCAGACGTAATTTTAAGATGACATATTTTTTTGGGATATCGTATTTTATTATTTTTATATTTATGTATAAAAATTGAGTTTATTTAAAATGGGAAAATGCAGTTAGAAGAAAGCAGAACTTGTTACTTGCTCTCCACATTAAAAATTCACTATGTAATATAGTGATATAAGTCAATATACCTTATACCTTATATATTCTTAAAAAATTTCAAAATGGTATCGTTATTCATGACTGTCTCGAAAATGTTTTCTTAAAAAATGTATGCACCTTAATATATCTATGCTAAATACTTTTATATAAATTTAAATTAAGATGACTAGGACAACCCGATCTATATGCATGTACATAGTCATGACAAATTCTTTTATAGTAGTTATTGCACTAATATATAACGTGATAACTATAGTTACTTAATAACCAACAGATCCTTTCCATCACAGTTTGTTTAGCTAATTAGACATGCAAGCAGGAATCCTAAAGACAATAGAATGGTGTTAATTTAACTAACAACAGTACATAAAATTATTTAGTAAGTAATAATCTCCTTGGTAGTTATGTTATAATATTATAACAAAAATTTAAAAAACCATTTCTTCAAATTCCATCCTATATATGTGTTTTAAGCTATATTATTATAACATATTCATATTATAAATATATATTAAATAGAAATAAATCTAGTTTTAATATAGTTAAAACTGAAATAAATAAAATATAATTATTATTTATGCAAAAAGGGCGATCACCGGAGAACTGTCCAGCTGTTTTATTCAATTTATATTATTTATTTCATATTTTTGCCTGTTTTATTCATTTTTCTAGTATTTTAGTAGTAGTTTTATTCATTGCCATTTTGTATTTTGTTCGCTGTTTGGTCGTATTTATTTAGTTTTTAGAATTGGTCTCTCAAACGTCTATGGTTATTTTTGTATCATCTCGAACGTAGCGTACTCCATAGGAATTGAGGGAGGGATGAGACATGGTGCGATGAGGAGATGATGAAAACCCATCACCGCCAAGCATCCTATCCAGGCGCGCCACTAGCCCCAACATTCGCATTGGTATGTACTGCAACATCAGAGAAGAATTCGTATTTCACAAACGGTGACACACACTTGAGGTAAGTTTTTGGCATTTTGAATTTGAGGTCTTTTGCATCCCTGATATGATGATTTTGCATGCATTTTCCCTGATGATGAGATTTTGTTTTTCTTGAGGTAAGTGTGTCGTACTGCAATATTTTTATTTCATTTTTTGATGACGAAAGTTTGCTTTTTGCCATTTAAGTTTTGCGACACAATTTTATAACGGGATGTGACCAACCGCCTATATCAGTGGAAGTTCAGAACGCCCATTTATAGTGCATTTGGAACTTCTATTTATGTTACAAGAATGCCAAAATTGCACATAAGAATTATAAATTCAAACTAAAAGCATTTGAAAGGATATGAAATGCAAAATAAGCTCATCCAAAATGGGCGGAGGTTGGTACACCGTAAACGAAATGCAGTGTAAAATAGTGAAAGTATGCTGCACTGGGGAGGATGCATTCGCAAGCAATGAGAATCGAATGCAAGCTTTCAGTGAAAGCACATATGGAATTGGGGATGTTCTCGAGCTTTCACTTGTAAGGGTAAATCTAGTTTTTCTTTTGTTTTTATTGTTTTATGCGAAAAATTTGAAAAGCAATTTATCGCACGAAATGTATATAAATTTAAAAAATTTCAATTGGAAAAACAACTGACCTTTACATAATTAAATAGAAGGCGGCTTTAAATAACTGCTAATTTAATAAAATTACAGAATAAAAAAAAAACAATTTTGAGAAATTGTTAATGATTTGTTTTTAGTAATAATGTCAATTTTAAGAAATAAATTTTACCGTCTCTAATACTTATTATTCAAATATCTGGAAAAATTGAACTAACTAATTAATATTATATGTATAACTATTGCTGTGTGAGGTTCCATTGTTCGATTAATAGTAGAATAATGCAGCCATTATAATTTTACCTCTAGTCTAGATTTTAGAGATATAATGCAAAAATTAATTTTTCTCTTGATGTTAGTAGGATTGATATTACTTTTTATGTTCGGTCACATCAGTTTGAAATGAATTAAAATACAAAGTATGCCAAGTTTAGTTAATAAAAATTTTAAAATAAGAATTGTTATTAACAAATATTATTTGTCACTCTAAAAACTTTTTATTTCATATCCACGTATTTTTCTATACCAGTCACCTTAATTTTCTTAACAACAGCAATCATTAATTATATTAAGCAAGATTCTGTAATGGTTTTCATTTGCAATTTAGCGAATAAATAATTATGTCTGAAGAAGATGACTACACATTTTTCAAAGAGTTGGAGAAGAGACTTTTCGAGAGTGGAGTGTGTAAAATAGGAATACCGGATGGGGAAACGGATACTCCAGTTCAATTCTTAAAGAAATTCAAAGAAATGACGCACGTTTTGACACAAGATCCATTTGCGTGTGATGCGAAATGGACCCTGTTCGTTACCGCAGCAAACAGTTTCAACGCAAAGGTAAACGTTATGCCATATCTGCCAAAATTCGTTACAAGCCAGGAGCATTTATTATTTTTAATAAGTGAAACGCCTAAACTATTTATCTTGCTTTCATATGCTGAAGAATATAATTACTTACTTTATGAGAAGAATGTAATACTTCTCATATACTGGGTAATTATTGCTAATCATTCACCACGATTAGAAAGCATAGTTAGGGATCAAAAATTTTTGGAATTTTTGGCAGATGTACAACACAGCAATGAAATAGTTGTGCCATCATATATTTTTAAGGTAAATCATGACTGCAATTCTGAAGATACCATTCTTTACGAAACTAGACGCGCTACTTATGGTACCAAATATGCATTTTATAGCTGTAATCCAGATACTATGTACAAGCTACTCTGCAAAGGTTTTAAATTGTATAAGAACTCTATGAAAGAAATTTATCTAACAGATAAAATACGCATTGCATTGAGTAAAATTCCCCGTATGGCTGGTTGGGGAAAATCAAGCTGTGGCCCTATCTTTAGAGTAGTTGGACTATGTGAGTGTATTATGAAATTTGAGTATTTAAAGCGCATCATTGATATGAAATTTAATTGTCCCTCTGTTTATGTTGAGGTACCGGAACTCCTTCGTCTCAGCTACCTACTGTTCTATACAGAACACTTACCCAAACAACAAAAAAGAGAATCCATGATAACACAAATTTTTAATAAAAACTACAGTGCACACATTACTTTGCTCTTGGTCGCTATATTAGGTTACATATGCAGGAAAAGAATACAACTGACTTGCGCTGTAATACGGAATAAAATTGATCATATACCTATTTTAAGGCGCATATTTTTCGGATAAATTAATTTTTCTGATATTTCATAAATAAATGTGTATATGTATTATCAGTAATAAAAAGCCACATACTATTTATTTATTTATATTTAATCCGGATAAAAGCATTTAACAGTTTCAGCTGAAATTATGCTGTGGTTTCAAGTAAACTTGTCAAATACAGCTAAAGATAAAATTTTTAAATAAAATTTCGTAGTATACTTTTAGGTGGAGTTTTTTTTTCAAGTTTACTTTTTCAATGTTAGTACCAAATAAAAATTTAGCTATCACTACTAAAAATATTTTACAAAAATATCTACTGTAAGAATATGCACGTCATAAGGTTTTTTTTTCGATTGAATTATGAACTAGAGAGAAATTAAATCTATTTACGAATCGACACGATTCACGAAGCATTAGGTGTGAGTACAGCGTAATGAAAAAACTGAATACTATGGATTTTTTAACTACATAACGCAGTTTTTAAGTGTATATCAAATTTAAGTTCTGTTACTTAAATAGTTAGAAGGAAATTATTTTCCTTCTAATTTTCAATGAACTTGAAAAGAAGATACAACTGTCCAAACCCAAATAAAGAAGAGTATAAATTAAACGATAAAGAAGCAGTGAAAGTATAAAATAAGAGCTTTCCAATTTTGGCCACAAGCAAATTATAATAAGCAGTGTAATAAAATTATGGTACGAATGCTTGTAGCATACCAATAAGATCTAAGTTTCATAACAAGTTGTCTCAAAAACTATATTAAATATCTATACTTATCTATACTTAATTATGAAATGTTGAATTTTGATAGGTTCATTGTGAATCTATAGAAAAGCCTTTTTCTTTTTTTTTTTTTTTTTTTTTTTCGAAATGAAAAAGCACTCAAACTGAAATATACATACTACAATTAAGTAAAAGTAAACAATAACTAATATGATTAGATTTCATATACCATATGTTTTAATTACAAAGGACATGGCCAGACGTCATGAACCAATTTTTCTTCTATTAAGCAAAAAAAGAAAAGGGCATTAATTATTTTCTTTATCCTTCCGCTCTTATGAGATCGAACTTAGTTAGAGATCAAAAGCCTTGAAAAATTTTTGGTAGTATCCAAAGACACCGACTATCTTTCTTAAAAATACAAACAATAGCCAGAGAAAAATATATAAGAATTCTTGGCACATTTACCAGGTAAGCACAGGATTGCAGTAAATACAACTATTTTAAGGGATATACACAAGGAATTTATCCGAGTTGCTTACATACCAAGAGTCCTTCACTAATATGTTTAGAGTTCTATTTGGATACGATCGAAATTTGCTTAACGTTGTCGTTATCAGTTTGCCAAACGCTACGCTACCATAAAGAAAGCTTTGCATAATTACTGTAGTGATTTTCATATATTAAGATTCCGTTTTTAATTACTATTTTCGTCCCACATAGCGACAAAAACGTTCCAGGTTTTAAATTGCATGTAGTTATTTCTTTTATGCACATTCCATAAAAATATTTTGTCAAAAGTTAATCCAACTGATTAAGTATTCTTACTTTGGGTTTGCACTCAATGCATGAGTTGTTTAAAGTAGTGCTCTTGGGCACTGAATTCCTTTCCCGATGGTAAATATAGTTTCGGTATTCCCTGTACTTAAATTCTCCATTATTTAAAATATGACATTTTCTGATCCATATACTTGCAAATATTTTGTGATGAACTTCGCACTTTAATTGTGATGTATTACGAAAGAATCATCAACAAACAAAGATAATGTGTTTCTGTTCTCAATTGAAAAAACAGTTGTATATAAATTATATAGGATCGAAAATAAAGAAGACAAATGGTATTGCAGCTTTAATCACCCTTGTCAACTCAATTCTTCATTCAATTACTGATAAGTTTAATATGATTTTTTGGGATTCCGTGATATGTAAGCAAAATTATTAGTCAGGCATGGCATACTTTATCGATTTATAGCTTTGCATGCTTTGTGCAAGCAATATATAAATAGAACATACTAGTTGACGATAAATAACATGTATATTTTTAGTGTGTAATCAATGTAAAAAGTTTACTACTTTAAACGTAGATATCGCGAAACGTAAGCTATATCGGTTAACTCTATTCTTTTGTCTTTTGTCGATCTTCCAACAGAAATAGTATATTAATGAAATAAGTTCAAGAATCACAATTTTTTACATTAAAAACCATAACTTTTACTTTTAAAACAAAAACAAGTCACACAAAAATGTTAACTTCAATTATGAAATTAGTTTATATGTGAAGTTAATATACATATTTTTACTAATTAAAAATATTTATTTTCTCTTTTTTATCTATTTTTCTATACAAGGAATTTGACTATATCAATTCCTCATTAAATATAATAAATTCTATTAACTTACCCTTAAATATAGGAGATGCTCTCCATGTGTGCGCCGCACCTTGTCCCAAAAACTGTCCAACTGATACTTCCAATAGTATAATAGGAAGACCGACTAGAAACAATAACAAAACATATGGTATCAGATACGCTGAACTGTATCTATCCAATTCCCTAGGGAAGCGTACTATGTTGGCGTAAGTAATATTTAGGCAAATGCACAGCACAAGCCCTCGAAATACGGAACATTTCGTCTAAAAGAGAAAATAAAAATTGTTATAAAATTATTTATAGCTTTAAATTATACAATTTTAAAAATATATAAATAATTATAGATATAAATAATTAAATTTAAATTTGTTACTAATATAAGACCAACTTAAATAGTATCTAATCGAAAGCCCCAGTTTAGTGCAATTTAAAAATTATTAAGAAAAACCGTGTGCCTAAATACTTCAAAATGGTAAAACTTTTTTTAGTATTTGTTTGGTTTTTTTTCAATTCAATTTTTATCCCCACTAGATTTTATTATACTGTATACCATCCAAATGTTAATTTGATTTGACAGAAATATTGGCAAAATTAATTATAAAAAGTGCCTTCAAGGCATCTTCGATACTTCGCTACTTAAGATGAATGATTTCTTCATTGACTAAACAAAATAATAAATTTATAAAAAATAAAGTTGTTGAAAATTTTAGGAGTTTTCTTCTTTGTATTAATGTAGCTACCTACAATTTTTTTGCAATGAATTTATATTAAATTTAAAAATAATGTTGTTTTAAATATTTAAACTTAATTAAAATCGATTGTAACGAGAAAAAAATTTTGGGCATTGAAATTCAATTTATTAAATATTATAACTTATTTATTGTTATATTTTTTTTTAATTACATGCAAGGGTATTTATTTACCAACTTATTTTTAATTTTAAATCAATTTTATGCACTCTATCGTATGAGAAACAAGACTTATATATACCTCAAGTAATAAATTAATATATATTAAAGGTATAAAATATAACTAGAATAAAACATAAAAATAAACAACGATATTTTAGAGATCTAGTTTTTCCTAAAAGAATACAGTTGCTAGCTGCAATCAAAGCTGTCATCCCTCAGCATTCTCTTCGGACAGCAAACTTATTGGTCAGTCCACGGATATGAAAACACTTACTGACTTTTTAGTATCCAAACATATTCAATAGGAAGACATGAAATTGAATCTGTCATTATGTCTCATTATTCTGTAGTACATACAATTTCGTTAAGGTCAACAAGAATCATTGAATTGTCATCTACATAATTACAAATAAATAAGATCGATTTTTACAAAGAAATAAAGCCATGATTTAATCTGGAATTAGCAATCAAGCCAAGGAGATATAACATTAGCAACTGAGCACTTCACTTCAAAATCAATGATGGTTATGTTATTAAATAGTTAAACATGATTTTCAGTCTAAATGATTGACAGAACACTGAGCAATCCCACCAAAAAAAAAAATTTCACAGAACGTTGTTTCCACCACAAAAAAAATCTAAAACTAAATAATTCCTCAGGATTCTATTTATAATATATTTATATATAACTTGTTAACAATTAAAGTAATACTGAAACGAAATAGTCTATTTAACGTATATAACATCAAATTTCACAAAAGCATACACCTGGTTTATAGATTATGGGCACGCATTTCTTAGTCTCTGCACTACGATTGTGAACCATCTCAAACTGTATTGGTTCTTTGAAACCATTATGACAAATCACTTAACTGCCTAAACACATTGTGACTTGTGGTTATTCCTTTATCTGAAGGAATCGCTTAGGGAATACTGGAAATATCGTTTCGACACGACTGAGAATATAAGAAGGGAATTGCTACGACCTTTGAAAATTATTCCGAAAATCAACCTAAATAATTGCTTCCAAAACAGGAAAAAACGCTGACAATTGTTTATTGTATTGGGATGGCAGTACTAATAAACACTAATAAACAATATTTATATATATTTCTAGTGTAAACTAAGTAATAAAAATAATAATAAACAATATTTATATATATTTCTAGTGTAAACTAAGTAATAAAAATATTAATTTCTCCTGATGAGTTGTCAGTGGTTACTCATAATTAGGAAACCATTATAAAATTTTAAAATTATAAATTGAAAAAAGTTTATCATATGGGACTTTCGTTAGTAATTTTTTAAAAATAATTATAAGTTTAAATTATACTAAATACCAGATAATGACTAACTCGAGTCAAAGTATTTAAGTGAAATTTAACCAAACAAACCAAGTGTAAACTAATACGCACCAAACTCTTCGTATTAAAAAATGAAAAAGAAAAGTGCAAACAAACCACAGAAGGAAATATTTAAAAAAACAAGTCAAAAGTAAATAAATATACAATAAATACATAAATATAATAATAATAAAAAAGTTAAATATAGTTCGTTCAACTTAAAAGTGTTTAAGAAAATTTATTTGTGTTCACTTATGAGAAATACAATTAAAATTAAATTTTCTACGCAAACTTGGATGCAGTGTCAGCAGATGAAGATTTATGTTAATTGAATTTAAATGGGAATAAAACCTACATAATCACTTGTTTGATAACGAAATCGTAACAAAGTAGCATCATGTACTATATATATAGTGGGTATAATTCACTTAAATTTACGAAGAAAGCTCGATGTGTATTAGAATATAACCACACAAATTTATTTTTATTATATGAGAAGGCATTTTACTACAAGCTTATTATAATTGATTCATTATAATAGAACTATAATTAGTACTATAATAGAATTATAATTAGTATTTATAATTTCATTTCGAAGAATATACACGCTGATTAATTAATAAAAGAAAAACCTGCAGGAAAAGATTCTTTCTAAAACAAAAACCAAAAAAATTCTAATCGAATTGAGAGAGAAATCTGAAAAAGTTATAATGCATATAATTACAATAATTAAGTTATTAGTTTCTAACAAAACCAAATAAATCCTAAAGAAATTGAGATAGAAATCTGAAAAAATTGTATGGCCTATACTTACAATAATTAAGTTAGTACTTTTTAACTAAAAATAGTTGACAACTATTTTGTTAGGAATAAGTGAACCATATACTTTTAAAATCCAAATCTCTTCGAAACATTTTAATTTAAATCTTTCATATAAACCACTTCATTTCTCAAAAACTATTCTATCACAAATATGCTCCATTTTCATTTCGACTTTAACTAATTTCCATAGCTGCCAGCTCTTTCCTTATTTTTATCTGATGTGTCTTCAATTAAGTCAATTCAATCAAGTGTTTATAAAGTACTTATATTTAAAAAGATAGTAAAGTAGAAAAAAATTTATTTTAAAGTACTACGAAAGTCGCGAATCCATTGGCAACAATCACCATAATCTCATCTACATAATCAGATCGACATACAGTCCATGTGCTATTATCACTACATGTTAAGGCAATATTTTCAGTTATTTCTAAAGTTATTAAATCGATTCTTTTACTGCATTATTATGTATTCAGACTTAACCATCAACAGTAAACGTACTTGTAGTAAATCGAATAAGCAGTGTTCTACATATGGCTGAATACACCAGATAATACCAAGGAGCTGAAGGCTTAGATTCCACAGATACTCTAACAAAGGTCTGTATTAAGATCTAACTGAACTTAATGCAGTAATGGTGCATTAAAAAATGTATATAAAGAGCTATGACAAATATCTAATTAGGTTGCAAGGGCTCAAACAGTAATGAAGCAACAACAACAAAAAATTGTTATTAATTTTATTGAAATTAGACTACCAAACAACGCTGTTTTGAGTATTGCCAAGTACTGATCATCAGTGATTTTAAAAAATATTCGAATTTTTATATAATTAGTTTATAGTCCGTATGTAATTTGCTGGACTGCAAGTACCAGGCTTTAAACTCGTGCCTGTTAAATTGGAAACGATGTAAAATCGTGTTATGTCACAACTAGCCAAGGCTGGACCAATTTTTAATGCTCAAGTTCCAAGATGTTTCTATTAGATGTTTATGAATCTAAACACTACGCAGAAGTCTGCAGCAATATTTCAGATAAACGGATTTCAACAAAACTTCTGCGCAATTGAAACTCACTGAAATAAATAATTTGTAATTTTTTTTGGAAGAATTGATCATGTGAATACTGTGTTAATAGATTTAAATTAAACGATTTATCACACCATTTATTTAACAAGAGTATTTGCATAAATAAATTCAACCAAAGATTACTATATCTTAAACATGGTAATGCAAGCTCTCACATATCGGCTAAAAGTTTTAAATCAATAGGTCATTCGCCAACTGATATAATTTGATAACTAATGTCTTAGTGTCTATTGTCTTTTCTCTTACATCAAAGACAAGCTACATGGACAAAGATTTTTGCCAGTAGAAAATAATGCATTAGCATTTAAAAATTATATTATGAAAGTTTCTCAAGCAGAGTGGAAATGCTATGACAAATAGTTTGTATTATATATGTGTTATACATAACATGACACAGATAAGCCACATCACCGTGTTCAAATTTATATTGAAACTTCTTTTTTTTTCATACTCTCAATTTTTCGATTTGCATTGAAAGTATCAACAACTTCATATAAGTCGTGACCATGACTGACAATATAATATGGCTCTAGCAATATAATTTGAAATCTGCATATACCATAAACTGAGAATAAATCGACATGTAAACTAATAATTTTTTATATCAAGTAATTTTTTCTTTGGTACCCTGGGTTGATTTCGAAAATGGACGTTCTCATCCTCACATATGAATTTTTTGTTTACTGCGTGCAGGAAAGAAGTACTGAGTTTATGTACCTATAATATAGTAGTGTTATTTATAATAATAAATAAGACCTACTGGAATACATATATAATATTTAAATTCTTATGACTCTGTCTCACGTTTAAAATATTTCGCATTATAGAAATGGTGTATGCTTTACAGTATAATTTAAACAATTAAGTTTTAAAAATTGTTAAGATTTCTGAAAAAGTAGGATCACCTGGAGATATTTAATTCAACTATATCATTTATATGTTATATACATCTTTTCAGTGTTATACACGACATTTTCGTTTCCATCATTCTTCCAAAAGGCCTTCCCAAAAATGTATGCACAAAACTTTATTAAACTTTAATAACTAAGTTTGGAAAAAATTTAATGAAACTATATATATACATGAAAAATGAATAAAAATTA